CATCGGGTATGATTTTTCATACGAGGCCAAGCAGCACCGGCCAATTGTGATGGCCAGCATCGGCGCTAGTGCCGAGTTTGGCTTCAAGATGAAGGCCGTTGCCATGGGAAGCTCCATGTCCATAATATAGGGGCCTTAGTGCATAGACTAGGATGTGGGAATAGTAGAATGTATTATCCGTAGATGGGGGTTACAAAAGTGGACACTCTTGCTACTTATTCCGATCCCTTTACTAAGAATGCCACTTTCAGGCACGCGTTGTTCCTAAGTGTTTGAGCCAGACACTTCAGCCCATAAACCCTAGACCCTACCTTGAGAGGGAAGCCTTCGCCTTAAGCTCTGAGGCCTGAACTTTGCGTAGGGTGTGGGGCGACGTGTTGCTTTTGGCACAGGTTTCAGGGCTTCAGAGCTAGCAACGGAGGGTTCACGGTTTCAGCTTCGGTTGAGAGTTGCGGAGTCCGTGACTAGTTACCTTGGGGTCTCGAGTTTTGACTCGTCAAGCCTCTGAATGGGGCGTGGGATAGAAGTGCAGGCACAAGCTATCCACCGCCCTGCTCCTGCTGCAAGGCCAACGACCCGGACGACTCGGTTCGCCTTGAGTCAGGACGCAGCTCTTCCACATCGAGGGTTGAGGGATTACTCGTAGACATCGTAGAAGTGTGTTCAAAACAGTAGTTGGTCAAGCTTTATGGGAAAAGAAGGGGGGGGAGCCAAAACAAGACAAACAGGAGCCGACGTGCTGTACAGATGACTTTCATAAGTTGCTATCGTCCTTGTTCAAAGGGTTTGACATCGGGGTTAAGGCCGACGGGCCCAGACTGAGATTTGAAAGCGTCAACGTTTTAGCTGTTGCCAGGCATGTTCTGAGCTCGACTATGCGCCGAAGCGGCTTCGGCCCTTAAGCCCCAAACCTTAAGTAGGGCATTTTCTGCCAGAACAAGCTATGAGGAGACGTTATCGTTTTCGGCGGTCCCGCACGAGACCTGGTCCATGCAATGCTACGCGTGTTCCCGGAGACCTGCCCCTCAGTGCCTTCGGCTTCGAGGTGGTTTCGGGTCCGAGATTTCGCAGACTGAATGCGGGTTAACTGTTGAGGCCTCTATATTAGACTTCGCGAGCCCTTGACCGCAAACCCCGAAACCCAGGCCGAAAACCTTGAAGCCTAAACCCAGCATCTCCGAAACCCTAAGCCTTAAGCCCTAAACCTAAACCCTTAAACCTTAAACCTTGAACCCTATAACCCCTGAACCAAGGAGCTCAATTTTCCTTCGCCGCCCGGACCCGGGCGTGTCAGTATCACCTGGCGCGACGTAGGTCCAGAGGCCCCCTGCGTAAGTTTGCTGGGTTGCTGTAGAAGGAACTAAGCCCTAAATTTTGGATTTTGGGGTTCCTTTAAAGGGTTCCTTAAAGGGTTCTATAGGTGCTAGTATATGGTTTTATGGGCTTAAATAATTACCTACATCATTCTGGGGGTTCCTTAACATATTTTTAGTATAATGGGCCCCAAAACCCTATTCTAATTATTATTAAGGCCCCTACAGTAAGTCAGGGGTTTACCATAATGGGGTTGCATACTGAATAACATGCCCTAAACCCTAAACCCTGGGTTTCCGTAGCATAGTATCTTAATTTACGTCCCTTAACAGCAACCCAGTTTATCAGTGCCACGATTGCTACACAACTTCGCCTGTCTGAGAGGTTAGGGTTTGGCTTTGAGGGAGTTTAGGGAGTTTAGGGAGTTTCGAGAGTTTAGGGTTTAGGGAGCTTAGGGCTTAGTATTTTTGTCGTTGTTGCAGTTCAGCAATCTGGCTATGCATATGGTGATGATAAGTGTGACTACTTTTCATTTGCTGCTACGAGAGGTGTTGTTCTTAAAGTGGTTCCTCAAGCCCTTGACGTGAACGCTAGACAACCATTATCCAATCAGAAAAGAACAGTTATACCGATACCATATGCATATAGGGGCCTTAGTAATTGCCTACATTATTTTGGGGGTTCCTTATTATAAACGTTGTATACTGTACCCCAAAACTCTATTCTAATTACTATATTGCACCAAAGGCCCACTGCAGATACAGTTTGAGGCGCCTTAATTTAGGAATATGGCTTTAGTCAACGCAAGACGCAAGGGGTATTCCCAAATTAAGGGGTTTAGAGTCTACGGGTTTAGGGGTTTAGGGTTTAGGGTTTTATCGTTTAGGCTTGAGGGGCGTTCTTTTGCTGTTTTCTGTGGTCTTGTGCTTGTGCAGTGTTTTGGAGGGATCTTCGAAGGATTTATGGGGTGTGTCTAGGGGTTTGCAAGGATTCTATTTCGGAACGTTAATGTTTTTTTGGCTGTTTGGAAATCGGGTCTTGTGTGGCCCGTGTATCATCATTGCCATCACGGTTGTCACTTGTGGGCGCCGTCCTTATACTAAACAGAATTACTCTCAATGGTGAGTCTGGGTAGGTCGTTATTGAATCTGTTTTTTGATTCTGCACTATCTGGGTATGCCGGTTCACATTCGGCAGGGCCATCATCTCAGCATCATCGCCATCATCCTGGTCACTGGTCACCTCAGTGCTACGAGCAACCAGCAAACCTGTTTCCGGCACGCATAGCAGGCGGTGGTGCTTGGGGCAGTGTAGGGCTTAGACATCAGGCTTAGTGCGAGTAATGGCTACTACTCAGTAATAATGCGCGCATTAGTACAAAAAGTACTGATAGTGGTGCTACTGATAGTGGTAACTGGTAATCTTGAATCATGGTAATGGTAGCAATAAACCCTAGACCCTAAACCCTAAACACTAAACCCTAAACCCTAAACCCTGAACCCAAACCCACCCTAAGCCCTAGTAAGAATCGCAGTCATAGTGATTCCGTGGGAAGGCGCAGCAGGTCCAGGCGAATCTGGACACGGATGCTCTGCAGCTCGTATCTGATGGAGTTTAGGGTTTAGGGTTTAGGGTTTAGGGTGTCTTGGCTTTAGGGTTTTGGGGTTGCGGGGTTGAGGTTTAGGGATTGAGGGTTTACGGTTGTGCGTTCAGGATTTAACTAGACTGTTGGGACTGTTGGTGATTGGTGACTACTACTTCCTACCACCTACAAAAACTGAACGGCGAATCCTAAGCTCAAAGGCCTATAATTAAGACCTAAGCCTAAACTAACATAACATCTTTAATACAACCTTAAGCCTGTTGGACTGCCGGGCACGTTCGAACCACGCTCCGATAGCGCGGGATCCTTGGTTTGGAAAGGATCTCGTATCGACTTTCAGTTTCTAGCGACACCTAGAATGACCATGTGGGTAGTTGTATAAATTAGGGTCCCTTTCAGGCTCTTTTATTAGGGTGCCGTTCTATATTGGGGACCTAAAAGGGGACCCTAGTCTAGAAAACTACCCATGTAGTTCCTACTGATTGATGAAGACTTTCTGCAAGCCCGAAGGTCTATGCCGAAAAGCGTGGCTTCTGCACAATGGTTGTACTGTAAGGCTCAACATAGCCCAAAAAGCATTGTATTGTAGGATAGTCACGCCAAGTGATTGAACTCAGCGACAGAGAGAGAGAGAGAGAGAGTTCCGAGATACATACATACATGCATGTATACATACATATGCGTACATATGTGCATACATACACGCCTGCATACATACATACATACATACATACATACATACATACATACATACATACATACATACATACATACATATATACATACTTCACGTACGTACACATACATACTTTCACTGCTGTATACATAGCTACTGCATACGTTGACCTATGTACACATGCACATGCAGTTTTGCGTACATACGGAGTGAAGAGGATATCGGAAAACGACGGGCGAAATCAACAAAACAAAATCGGAAAATCCAGAGGGCGTTTTCCGAAAAAAGCCCGTTCAAACACACAAACCCAGAATCAGAAAACAGCGACGACGATATCAGAAAACAAGCCCAGAATCAGGAAACAAAATCGGAAAGCGGAGAGACCAAATCAGACAACGGATGTACAACAAAAACTCAGAAAACCAAGCAAAATAAAACGTCACTAGACGACCCTAAACCTTAAACCCATCCTGCCCTCACTTTATAATCGTTCACAAATCCGCATCGGATCAACTTCGTCAGATGTGCCTGTCGCAGCTAACCGCATCGGATGAACTTGCTCAGTTGAGAAATACTCATCTTGCCTGTATGGAAAGTAGACATCTCCCAATCCTGTGAAACAAGTAGCAATTTCCTATTGGTTGACAGCGACTTTTCCATAATCGTTGAGAAATCTGCATCGGATCAACTTCGCCAGATGTGCCTATCGCAGTTAACCGCACCGGATGAACTTGCTCAGATGAGAAATACTCATCTTGCCTGTATGGAAAGTGTACGTATATGTCATATATATATATATATGTGTGTGTGTATATATATATTATATATATATATGTGTATGTATGTATGTATATGTATATATATATATATATATATATTTCTTAAGTTACATACGTAGTAAATCGACTCTATGTGCAACCTTAGACCATGTCATGTTCTATCATTTCATGTCCTATGATCATCTCACACGACGAGTTGTTTCAGCACATCCTCACTCCCATGTTAAACCCTGTTTCGTGTGACATGCATGGTACTTCGGGTGTGTTTCGTAGGTATGTATGCTTTCACTCTACTACTTATGGGGTCGACCCCTCACCTCTGTTTTGCTCTTTGCCGTTGCCCCGCTGTCTGATTCTCGTCCCTGTTTTCTGATATTGTCCGCAGGGTTTTCTGATATTGTCCGTCTGGTGTTCTGATTGTTCTGCGTATGTTTGCTTGATTTCGGCTCTCCGGTTTTCAATTTTGTTTTTTGGATTTCGTCCGGTGTTTTGTGATATCGTCCGCTCTGTTTTCGAATTTGTTTTCTGATTTCCTCCGTGCCCCTGTTTTTGTGGCGTACTGTGGCGTAGTGGACTGCAGTCGTTTGCCGTTTCAAGTTGCCGCCTTGGCCGCCTTGGTCCGGCCCAGGCGCGGGAAGCACAGAGGACGAGCGCGCACGCGCTGCGCCTTTGCGAGCTGGAGCTCCGCTGGGCTCAAGGCCTCCGTTGCTCTCTGTCGCTTCGCTGGTGATCCCATGCAGTGCCCCTGCAGGTGCGGAGGGTGCCGCCCTGGAGTGCCTTCAAGAAAAGGAGCAGGAGCTTGGAAGAGTGCTGGTTCACTCGCTGAGATGGGCCGTTCTCTGTGTGTTCTTGTGATTTCGGAGGAGCTTCGCCAGTTCGAGCGCGAGCTGAAGGCACGCGCACGGTGATGTTGACCGTTTGGTGTCGAAGTTGATCTCGCTGTCGTTCCTGTCTGCCACACTGAGGCTACCGACGAAGCACTGAATCAGTTCAGAAATGGTCCAATGGCATCGCTCAAGGCAGATGTACTACTTTACTGAGTTGTGTGCGAGCCTCCGCAGCTCACAGCAAACGCTAGGTCACTAGCCACGAGTAGAGGTGTGCTATGATATCCAACAGCCTCGTCTTGACAGGTCCTGCAAGAGCCGGAAATCGCGGTGGAGCCATGACAGCACTATCGCAGCAGATGCATCTTCGGTTTTTGTGACAGCCTTTCAGCAAGAAGCCTGCTGGCAACAAGATGCTGGCACAGAAATATCCGCGTGCTTGTTCAGTACCGCAAGACCATTGTAGAAGTGGTCGGAAGTTCAACTACGGCGTTAACCGCTGCTTCTCGCATGCCACCTTTATTCCTTTTTCAGGAAGTTGGTAGAAGACAAGCCATCGGTTGAATCCGAACTCTAAACCGGATTTTCAGAGTGAATAGTCTCTGCATTGAAGCTGGTTTTGCGCATTAGCGACACCGCCGCACTCCTGCAATTGAAACTCTCTCCGCTGCTGCTTCCCGCTGTTCTACTTGTACCTGGTCAGTCGTGTGGATGCCGCTGCTGCAGCTGTGGTGATAGGATGTGACGTTGCGCAAATGTTGCTTGCCGTTGTCCTCCTTTATCTGGGGCACAGCACCGATTCAAATCTTTGCATGCTTGATGCCCGAGGTGCCACTGAAGACCCCCACGAAGGGCAAGCAGGACAGCATCCGCTTAGGGTGACTGGTTTGTCATCTCCGCTCTCCTGCAGGACAGCCATGTGCATGACCCAGCATCAGCAGGAGTCAGGCTCTCAGGTTTCATGCGGCATGGTGGTCCGATGCTTGTGGTTTAATGAAGGTCCCCACGCCTGTGCGAGCTGCTGCAGTACTGTAATTGGAGACGCGCATTTTTTGCAGATGGCCAATCTCGGAGGGATATCCTAGAAAAGGGGCAGTTGTGCAACAGATAAAGAGCAGCCTGTGCTTGTCACACTGCAAACTAAAATCTCGGAGCCTCTCTGGCTATCGCCCCTTTGCAAACTGGACTGTCTGCAAGAGGCTGTTGCTGCAACCTCCTCCTCAACTGTATTTCTGCTAAAATCAGAGAGGTCCAGCTCCAGCCGCGTGCAGCAAATTAGAACAGGCTTCTCCTGATGCATATACTGTAGTTGCTACGGTGCACATGATGATTGGTTCCAGGGATGGAGTTGCCTGCAAATGGACATGCAGATTTCTGGTATGCGCGAGTCGAGTGGGCCTCGTTGGCATGAGCCTGCAATCGTTGGCGTAATGCCGATGCTCACGGAAGCCCGGGGCGGGGTAGTGAGTGGCAGAAGTTCAAACAGCTGGCAGCAGGGGATGACGTGGCGGCCGTGCGTGATCAGACACCGTGTGGTATCGAGCGCATTGCCCGCAGTGCAAGCCGTTTGACCGGTGATGAACAGACATCAAGTTTTATGTCATGCAGCTGGACAGACAGGCAGAGAAGCCACAAGACCATGTGTAATTTTTGCAGAGAAATACGTCACATGTCGCTGTCGATCCGGCATCCGAACACTCGGCACCCAGATGGGGTGGTGTGCTCAGAACTCTGTGCCCGCTTCTTATCGTAGTAGTTCATTGTCATGATGCTGAGGTCCAATGCCGACTCTGCGTCATCAGACCAACCGGAGGTGACCTGTGCAATGGGTACGTTCAGCGGGAGTGTCACAGTTTCTTAGTGCTTGCAAGCACCTTAGTTTGCAAAAAGACTGAGGATGCAGAAGTGCAGATCGCATTGGCCCGGCGGGCTCTTGACAGACTCGCGAATGAGGTTCAGGCGGCGGCAGGGTGCATGTCTTCAGGATCAGCTGGCCAGTTGTCTTTTTTACTTGCAACCTCCTCCAATCACGAGGCATGTCGTTCTGCCTTGAGCTATTGAGCTCTTTGGGCAGGTGGTGGCCGCAGAGTTTGAGGGATCGGAGGACCACATGACCCAATTCCGGACGGAAAGACTTGAGTCTCCAGCCAGAAGGATGACTTTCCGGACGTGCCGGTCTTCTTGAGCCTGCCGCCCGATGAGGCCGGAACGGCAAAGTCTGGATGAGTCTAGGGCCTAGGCGCAGCGCAGCCCGCAGGTGGCACGAACGACGCTGCGGCTGATGCGGAAGCTCCTCTGCCGCCGATCGGAGGCCTGGGCCTGCAGCCCATCCTGGATCAGCGCCTCGCGCCGTTCCCGCGCGGCCCGCGGCCCGCGCCCCCTTCGGGGAGGCCTCTGCCGCTGCTTTGGCAGAGCAGCGGCTCATGGCCTGGACGTGGCAGTGGCTAGCTGAAGACTCGGAGAAAAACGCGCCGAATCGCGACGTTTTTTTTTTTGGCTCGGCTCCACCGAGGCTATGGAAGCTGGTCAGCGGCAAGAGCTGTGCCGATTGGCGGTGCAAGGTGGGGCGTCCCTGCCTGCGCAAGTCCAGGCAGGCCAGCATCTGCCAGCCTTTGTTTTTAAGGCTCAATATACCCGCGATCCCCAGGCCCGTCACCTCGCCTTGTTGATCGATGTGCACTTTGCCCGGTCATGGTGGGAGGCGCCTTTGGCCATTCCACTTTTTCGTATGCAGTGTGCTTTTGGGCAGGAAAGGCAGCAGATGCTGGCGCTGGGGGTGGCGTGCGAGGAAGCGGCCTCAAGCGAGGCTTGGGACCCAGCTAATCCTTAGTTGCAGGCTTGAACGGTTCAGCTTGTATTCGCGGAGTCAGCTTGGCCACTCAGCCGATCATGGTGGTGTTGACCGGCTGTTATTAAGTTATGTCAACATATGTCAACACGGTTAACGCTCCTGTTTGGAACTGCAAGCGGCTAGGGGTTCATGACCAACATCGTCGGATGCTTTTCCTGTGTCGCTTTTTTCCGCCTGCGCGTCTCTACCCAACGCAGGGCAGCGTTGGTGCCACTGCTGTCAGATTCAGGTTCCTGCAATGCTTCGTGTCACTCGTCTGCCTTGCCGAGGAGACCATTCGGGCCACACGGCGCCAGGAAAGAGGCGTTGAGTTCGGACTCGTCGTAAGCAAACCTTGTCTCAGGGTGCCTCTGTCTCAGTTCACTCCCGTCCGAGAGGTGCAAGGGTGTGGCAAATTGCCGTGTCCGCCATGGCAGTGCGAGGGTCTCAGGATTCAGCATACCAGCTTGCAAGCCTCGATTTGTCTCCACGCAGGCTTCCCGACGCGGAGCTGGATCTGATCGGCCAGGCCAGGCGGGTTCCTTTCTGTAGAAAAGTCCGTCTTTGTCTTCACCTGGTGTTTAGAGCTTAGAGCTGTCTGAGGCAGCCGTTGCGGAGGCACAGCTGGTCCTGTCCCCCATCAGCATGGCAAGGGCGGTACTGCACTTGGCTCCTTCCAGAAGGAGGCAACGATTAGAAAACCGAGAGGCTGAGGAGGCTCCTTCCTTTCCTGTGATCCTGACAGGCAGCTGATGGAGATCCTCATCCAGGAAGGCATACTGGAGGAGTCATCTGCTTCAAGGTGGGCCAAGAACGCTGCCCCATCCGACCATTTTGAGGGGCCTGCTCAGGTTGTTTCGGGCCTTGACAGCACTGGATTCCATGTTGGGCACCGATGTGCTCGACGTCCCTGCCCCAGTTCTCAGGCCTGCTACTTGAATGATGCCTGTCTGTGCTTCTCTTGACCAGGCGCTGCTGATTGGGATGGATACCGTGTGTCATGAACCTACCTCGACTTGCAGCGGTGTCTCAAAAGCTCTCGGGAGTGCAAACTTGCGCGTAGAAGGTGCTGGGGTGAGCTGGAGCCAGAGTCCAAGAACCAGGAGATTTTCCCGAACCTGCAGTGATCAAGCTGGTACTCAGGTGCAAATGCCCTGGACTCGATCGGGAAGCTGGGCTCCAGCACACTCAGGCTCCACACACGAGTTGGTTGCAAGAAATTGCACTGCCACTGCTGCTTGAACCTGCTGGCAGTTCCGTGGGTGCGCTGGGCTCCTGGTCTTACCAAGCCATTTGCTCGGAAGGACATGGGCTCCGCGGCTTGGCTCAGTCCAAACTGTTTGGAGCGATTCTTGCACCAGGCGCTGAGCTGGGCCCGTGCGAGGCCGAGGCTCACTGATGCTCTCTGCTCCTTCGGCGCAGCACACGGGGCGCACGGGGCGGGCGCCAGGAGCCTGGCGCGGGCAGTGACTCGCAGCCCTCGGAGCTTTGTGCTCAGGAGCCGAAGCTTCGCTGAGTTGCAGTGGCCCCTGTCGCTTGGTCGGAGGAGCTCAGCCCATCTCCCGGGCTCAGCGCGGCGCCCGCGGCCGGACGCCTAGATGTCCTTCACGGCGTGCAGTTGCTACCTCTGCTGCAGCCGAGGATCCCAAAGACTTCCTCTAGCAGAATCTCCTTATTCGAACTTATTCGTGCATCGCAGAGCATGGAGACGCTTCTACAGGTCGTGCTGGTGGATGGGATGACCTTCAGAGGCAGAGATGTGGCGAAATGGAGACATGGCGAAGACCAGGCCTTCGCTTCAGCTCTGCTTCATGGCCCGAACATGCAAAAGAAGGTGCAGAAGCTCTGTGTCTTTCGACATCTTCTGCCGTCACAGCTCGATCGAGCACCGCGGTGCAAGTCGCCGCACACATCGAGTAAGAGTTGTGCAAGAAAATACCCTGGCATATTGGCAGATGGACGAACAGCCGAAGGAAGCGCATTGTACTCCCCTCCTAGGCTATTGTCCGGAAACGTCCAGAAGACCATCCACCAGCAGTGGGCATGGCACCCTAACTTCTGGCATCCGACTAGCTGCCTTGCGAAATTCCGACAGCCGCCAGTCTCAGACCCTTGTGTCATTGACCACCTGACCGAGCACCGGGCTTATGAACGCCGGGTTTTGGCAAAAGAGTGGAACACTGGGCACCGAGCTTGGCCACCATGAGACTTCAGGCCGTCAGGCCGTGCGGCTTCGCCGCCTAGGCCCAGTCCGACCAGATTCAGTGACAGCAGAGGCCGCGGCGCCGGCAAAGTAGATCCAGGACACTCTCCAAGCAACAGGCTGGAGTAATGGCAGAGCAAGGAGTCCGTCAACTCACCATTTTGGGTTGAGTGGGCTCCGAAGAGATATCAAGTTCGAAAAGTATGAGAAAATGGATGTGCGCGATATAGACACCTCCTGCGAGACCACCGTACCAGAGAAATATGGGGAATTGGTATATGACCTCCAAGTGGGAAGGCCACAATCCCTCCGTTGGTCGTCATCAAGTTCGCCAAAACCCACCAGTCCAATCAGGCAATGGTGCGGCGTTCGGCACTGTGAAGCTGCGAGCAGCAAAGGAACATCAGCAAAGCAGCAGAAGAGATTTGCAGCTCAGGTGTGTCGTCTTTTAAGATTAGATGTCATCTTCTTTGGCGAGGAAAAAGTGCCCGCACCTCTGGTTTGCAAACTGGTGCTGCAGACGCCGGATCCGCTGGCCGGCTTGGTTCGTTTCCTGGCGAAGGAACGCCGTGCAGCGTATGACCCCGCAGAGACCGGAAACAGTGGTGAAAGACATCTGCCACTCACGACTGTGTGAACATGTCTTTTGCACATGGTTCACACAAACGCCAGTCAGTTCAGACACTGGTCGAGGATCTGATTTCCGGGAAGCTCACGTGCATCACGCCACTGGTTCTGCTCAATCTTCAAGAAGGAGAATATTGGACTGTCTTTCGAAATAGGCGCCTGAAGGCGTTGACGCTTGGCGAGAATTGTCTCTTTCTTCTTGCCTGAGCAGTTTTGAAGCTAAGAGAAGGAGCAGCAGCAGAAGGATGACTTCAGGCGGTTTCCCGAGAGGAAGGCATGGCAACACAAAGCTGCTTTGCAAGCCACATATTGGAAACAAGAGTGCAACTCCGGACATCAGAAAGGCCACAGAGTCTGGGGTACTGTTCGGCAATGTGCAGCCGCAGCGTTCCAGAAAGCAAGACGTGGCGTGGAATGGGCGGCCTCATCTTAAAAAGATCGCTGCAGTGTGCCACTGCTCCATCGTGTTTTGCTGTGCAGTCATGTTTCTGAAGGCTTGCAGTCGCGGCAGCGATGCTGTTCAGAGCTCGCGTGCCGTCTGCATGTGTGCATCACAGGTCCAGCAGTTGGTGTTTGAGATGTGGCTTAGTGCTAATTGTGCGTGTGCAAGACTATGACTATGTCCCAGTCGCACATGTGCTTCTGCAATCGATGGTCTACGCAGTCTCGGGGAAGAGGCTAAACCCTATGTCAGATCCTGAGTCTGTCGCGATGACGCCCTGGCGATGCCTCAGATCTTCCGCATCAGGAAGTCCACAGCTTCCAGCTCAGCAATGGCGAAGTCCGATAGTGGCCAGAAGTCGGAGCCCCACTCCACATGGTTAAAGACCGGGCCGACTGGATGAGTTGAGTTGAGGTTGGCAGCTCCACGTGCCCTGGCAGAGAGCCGAGCGCTGCACCGGCTCTTTGACAGATCCAGGCCCGGCCCTGAAGAGTCCGGGCCAGAACCTGTCGGAAGACTGTTCGGCACTTCAGGAACGACGAGACCGAAGTGAAAGCCATGATGCTGCAGGGCCCAGCTGGGAGAGCCCTTCTTGCCATTGGCACTCAGGACGATGCTGCGAGTGCCGTGAAGTGCTGTCGCGCATGCAAGTTTCGCAGGATGACCATGATGTAGCAAGCCGCGCGGCTGCGAACATCCAGCGCCGGACCGAACAGCGGCCTGGCGCCAAAGGCCAGTCCACATCGATTTTGCAATGGAATCCAGGGGGGAGCACTTCTGGGAGGTGTTCAAGTGGATCACCCCAGCAAAGCGCTGGAAACTTCCAAGACCACGCTGCACTTTGGAGTTGGAGACCGAGATCTTCTGATGTGTACACAGACTTCCCAGTGAGCCCTTCAACTCTCACGGATACAGATATCAATGTTTCCCTTTCAGGCAGTCTACGAGCATCGGGATTTTAGCGGCAAGCCTCGGCTGATTGGCTCCACGGACAAAGTGCCCGAGCAACAGTTTGAGCTCGACTGGACCACCAGCGATGCAGTGAAATCGCTTAGCAAAGACGGGATGCGCTCGGAGCTGGTGTGGGCGGCCGCCCCTTGGGCAGCATTACATTTAGTTCTTCATGACGATGCCAAAGTTCTTGATAGTGGTCAAAGTTGTCTTTACCGCCAGCACTCACTAGAATTAGAATCAGAATCAACATCTGCATCGGCCATGTGAGCAGGTAAACACGGCTATCGCAGCAACCATGGGCATCCCAAACCATGCAGCGTGCACAAGGCATGCTACCCTTGTGCAGCACATGTACTGCAAACGCCACGCGATGATACAATGCAATACAATACAATGCAAGCAGTCAGGGTAGGATGCAACCTGTGTCATGTGATGTTCTCACATTTCAGCGATTCGAACATCCATACACGCACACATCGATTTTGTCCCAATCGCGCACAGCTTTCCAATTTCAAGCGGTTTTGTTTCGATAAGCTAAAAGTCAGCTCACAGCTATTTGTTTGAGTAAGTCGCGCAAAAAGCAGAAATCTACATGTAGGTGGGGCAATGGAAACGAAACTGTCTAGTCCTGATAACAGCTCTTCGGAATCTAAGTAGTTTAAAAGTTGCAGACTACATAGCTGAAGTTGACACAAAAGGCGGGGCATTTGGTTAGTCGATTGAGTTGTCTGAAAGCTGACACCAGCTTCTTCGAAGCAAGTTTGCCAGAGTTGCTAATGAAATGACTAAACGGGAAGTTGCATCGTGAAGACAGCTCTTCCGAGTTTGTAGTTTACCCACCCTCAGGCTTTCCGAACCCCCCCCCCCTCCTCAGACCGAGTCGGCCAACAGCTCCTACCAGTAGAGCTGGAAGGAGGGGAGGAGAGCGTGTTTCGTGCGGCTTGCACCCCGCGTCCAAGCTGCAGTCCAAATGCCCTACAATTTTCCGAACTTTGCTTTGGAAGGTATGCAGCTTGCTCATTGGACATCGGATACAGTTCACGAATCCTTTGCCGTTTGTGATTTGGCAAGTGAAGTAGCTATTGTAATTGCTCTCGCCATGTTCAACTTCGTTCGTTCGAGTTGACTTTGCCGGCTGCCACGTCCGGTCTCCCTGTGGCTCTTTCTCTCGGCTTTCTCGGAGCATCTTGACACCCTTGTTTTGCAACCTCTGGGTTGACCGAAAGTAGAAGAAGGTTTTTCGTTTTAAGCGTAGCTCTACAGGTCGGCTCCGGCTTAATCGGTGCTGGAGAGATGGCCGAGGCCGGAGATGGCGGTGAGCTTGCTCTGGTTTCTCTTGCTTTGTAAGGGCTGGTGGACCTGCACAGTCCTTCGAAGGTACGCCAGTCCGTGATGGATGCAAGAAGCGACCGACTGAAGGTTGAGAAGCTGCGAGGAGTAAAGCCATACTCTCGCCATACCTGAAGGGAACCTGTGCGAGAAAATGTGATGCCTGCACTCCAATTCGTATAAGGAATTGCAGGCGTCGCGTTGCTTTCAGTCTCTTCATGTCTTTCCCGCTTCCCCTTGTGGTGCCTCTCCTGCCGCGGCAATGTAGAAAAGTAGCAGATCATGTCTTCCGTGGCATTCGCACTGTAATCAAGCTTGTAGTTGTTCAGTCTTCTGCCTCGCTTGGTCCTCATGCCTGGGGTTAACGGCACGCAGCCTGCACTGATGGCATCCGTTGTCACCCGAGTGTGGAATTTGCGTTCTTTCGTTGCTAGCTTAGATCATTGCCACTGCCATGTTGTTTGCCTCATGCATGGCCTGCAAGCATTCGGTGCGATCAGCTCAGAGCAGCTGTTCTGCGACATCTCTGCCGGTTTATCCGAAAATGTCGCGAGTGGCGAGCACAAGCCTAAGGCCAAGCTGCAATTCGAGCTGCTCCCAGGGGCAGGCATGGCCTGCATGGGGCTCCTCCGCGCCCTCTTCAGAGGTGCAATGCGTCTGAAAGCACCGCGGCAACCTGCGAGTTCTTCCCTGTGCTTCGTCTCTGTGAGGCTAGGGCTGCATCCTTCTCCTCCGAATCTTCCGACGATGAGAGGCGGGCGAAGTCAGCTGCGAAGCAGCCTACAGCAGACTGCGTGAACTCTTCTGAGGAAGTCGAAGAAGGAGCGTTTGCGCGAGCTTGTACTCTGGCTGCAAGACTTCCAGGACTTATCAATGCGACATATTGGAGCCAGCATGCAACCGAGGTGCACAAATTTACTGCCGAAGCCCTGAAGGGGGTCGACTGTGCTCCGAGCGGATTTGCCTTGTTCACTGGCTTGCACATTCCGGGCATGACAGGTACTGTAGTCGAGCGGAAGACGCTCGGTAGGGTAGAGGCAGGGATGCAATGGAGGCTCTTTGCTGAGTCCCGCTGCAAGAATGGCGCAGTGCGAGGCCGTGTACAAATTGGATCCGTCTGTCAGCTGGTTGAAGTTCAGCAGCTCGAGTGGCACGCCACTTGCTGCTGCCCGCCGCTTATTCGGCGTCGCAGCGTTCAAGATGCAATCGGTGCCCAACGAAGCTGCGAGGTCCAGCTTCCGTGGATCTCGCGATTGACTTCCTTGCAGCACTTGCCTGCATACGAGCAGGAGGCCAGGGCCAGCGCCAGGGTTTACAGCCTCGGCTCATGAGATCGGAGCTTCTCGTTCTCGGATGCAGGACCTCCTTGGAAAATCTAGCTCTGACGTCGGTCGCAGCATCCTCGTGAGCTCCGGAGGTCCAAGGGACAAAGCGGACCCTTCTTCTCCTCCTCTCTCGGGCTTTTGCAGGTAGTCATGCCGATGCTGGTCGTGTTCCGCAATCCGTCACTCTGGTAATGAAGGCGCCTAGCAGATTCGGAAAAAAGTGCATGTCAACCGATAGGTGATTTTGTGACGTAGTTTATGCTTCGACCATGCGAAGCAGGATGCCAAAGAAATGGAGCGCTTCCTCACCTGCGTGTTCCGGCACAAGCCATTACCGGCAGAGACAAGCCGTACCACGGTTGGGGGGACTGCCCGTGATCTAGCATCAGGGCGCGGCTGCTTGCATGCTTCAAGCAGTCGGGGTCGGTTACATACTTGCTTTCATATTTTGATCTGTTAGCTGAGGTGGAAGTTCTACGACTGTATGCTGCGATGGATGCGCCGATGTGAGCCGACTGTCCCGATGCCCCGATGCAACAAAAAGTCCGCCACATTTTCAGTGTTATCGTTGTGTGTGTGTTTTTGCAAAATCTTGCCCCTGGTGCTGCGCTTTTGTGCTGCCTGCAGAGAGGCATGTGGAGCTGCACTGGGGAAGTTCTGGCTCAAGCCAAGAGAACTGCTTGTTCAGAACCTGCCGGTGTGCTGCCGAGTGGCAAGGCTCGGATGTTTGTTTGGATTCGGACTTGTCGATCCCCAGGTCAGAGAGCTTTGACCGGAGGTTGCTGCAACTTATGGTCGGGACCTGAGAGGATTTCCGACTTCACTAGCATCACTTGCACATGCTTGAATGAAGTTAATTTGAGATGTTGTGTCCGTTCGCACGTGCAGCGTCGAGAGGCGCAAAGTACGGCGTACACCTATGCAAGCTCACCAGCAGGGATCTTGAAGGGTTTCACGTCTTGACGCTGCCGTTGCCTCGCACCTTTCTCATACAGAGAATGTGCCTGGAGGTGCTGCAGCAGCCAAAGGCCGGCTGGGACGCAAAGTCTGTTTGGGGGCAATATGCCTGTATGTCTCTGGGCTTTCTGGTGGGAGCTGACTATTTATGCCAGGTGGTCTATCAGGCCCGTGGTTGCTTGGATCATCTTGTGATGTCTTGTGTGCTGAATCACAGCTCTGAGAGGCACCGGTGACCTTGAGGGCCGGCCAGCCCTTTGCCAGACAGGTGCAGCTGTGTGTTTTCTTGGTCGGTTCTCGGGTCCACCTTGAATTCCTGCAGGTTGTTCCGGCAGCGAATCTTCGACCAGTGGTCGCGGCCCGAGGTGACTGCAGCTCAGGCGACGGCTCCAACTCCTTAACCCTAAACCTAAACCCTCATGACGGGCCTCAAATTGAGGGGGTGCCGCAGCCGGTGCAAGCTCCCGTTCGCACAGTGGTGGTCAGCGGGGCCCCGGTCGCAGCCGGCACGATGCCAAGTTGCAGCATCCGTTTTGCACAAGACTTATACCTTGGTCGACTTGTACGTATAAACATCGAATTACCCTCTGATGCATACCTGAAGTGGCGTCAATGTGCTTATTGTGAGGGTGCAGAGAGCACCTGTCGTCTCCTGTTGAGTTTGCGGGGTTTGAGGTTTAGGCTTCGGGGGGGAACTTCTCGTAGCAAGAGAAGGCACCGGAAGGCAGCAGTGATCTCTGCGCACCGACCCAAACAGGGCCTCGGATACCCGAAGCGCAGCGCGAAAACTTGGAAGTGTGGTTGAACGCAGTCCGAAAGTGTTTCTGTTTTGTTCCTGGCTGAGACCAGCGGAACCCTCTGAACTACCTTTCGTTCATAGTCACCGTATGCGAAGACAGACATGGTTTGCGCGCTTGAGCAGCAGAAGTCCACCTGAGAAGTAGGCAGCTCGTAGATTCATGAGAAGCTTGAAGCCAAGAAGCAGCTTAAACAAAGCGCTCGAATCAAGGACGCGACACGATGTGACGTGTACATGTTTGCTGTGCACATGCTCCGTTTTCAATTCAGTTTGGCCAGTTTGTATTTGGCGTGTCCGTAGATCCGGTGCGCAGGTGCTCCGCAGAATTTGATGGGCACGCCATTGTCTTAGACTCTTAGACGACAGCCATCCTCACAAGAATTTGGAAGCGGGGCTGGGCCCGGGTCCTGCGTCTCAAACAGGCTACCAGCAGGGGCCCGAATCGTCCGACCAGCGGAAGGCATCAGCGCCCAGCCTCAAGCCCGGGCCGCAGCCGCCGAAGCCTGTGCACCTTTCGATGCTGGCGGCTGAGCGGCTTTGCCAGGTCGTGGCTTCGAGGCCAAACACCATCGGAGGCCCGGCCTACTCGCAGGGCGCCTACGAGGCCTGATCCGAGAGAGGCGAAGAGACGCGCCAGAGCCTCGACCTGTGGGCCTGGGTCGCAGCTGGTTGCAGGTGAAGCACGAAAAGGATACGCAGCTGCAAAACCTGAAGGTCCACCACAAGTTTCCCTCGCGGCTTTGCTACAATTTTGCTTGACAGGAGCTGAGGAAGACCAGCGGGCTCAAGCAAATTCCAGTGGACGAAGGCACGCAGTGCCGTAGCGAGATTGTAGAACCTGTGCCGCATGCCGGCAGACTCGACAGGCTTGCAGGCCTTCAAGAAAGCCGCTGTGGAAAGCCGTCTCACACGTGAGCAGCCCACCTGGCATGGTGCAATCTTGGAAGCAAAGCTTGCCCGCTGCGTCTTGCCGCGGAACACAGTGCACGGCCAGGTTCATCCAGGCCTACTCGGCACTGCTCCAGGCAGATCTCGGCAACTCCACAAATACTGGTGAGTCTTTTGGTGGCACACCGAGAGGCCAAGGGCATCGAGGTTCCGGCCAATGAAGCGCCCGACCCGAGTGTGAGTTTCTGTCGGATGGCGATGGTGCATTTCTCATGCTCAACTTCTTTGCACGTGAGGTTAAAAATGCGGTTTTTGATTTGTTTGACCGCGATGACAACAACATTGCTGGGACCTTGCTGAGCGGAGTGTAAGGATGCCTGAGATGAGTTGAAAGGAGACCTGAATAGTCAAAACCGAACTCAGGTCGACATGATGGAATTGATCTGTGGCATTTCCTTACTCTGTCACGGATCAGAGGCCGGAGCAAAGGGCGGAATGTCTGGGAACCTGTCAAGATGAGATACGTCGCAAGCTTGGGCAAAGTGCTTGCTTGCTACTTCAGGATGACAAGATCCATGCGGTCTTTGGCATCTTCGACGAGAATGGCGATGGCTACATCTCTTTGGATGAGATGTACAAGTTTCTCACGTCTGTTTTCAAGGCAGGAAGTATTTCACAATCTATATGAAAACTGTGTCTGTACCGACCCATCATGTCGCTTGTGCCTTATTGTCGAATGAACTATTGCCATGGTTGACAAGTCCGCGAATAAAGCACAAAAGGAGGGCAGCCAGTGCCAGTATTAGGAGCGGCCAGATTCCATGATGTCATAGTGTGGACGGCTGTCGCAAGCGATGCTCGCAGTAGTTCCACGATGCGATTCTATCTCGACTCACTGACAGGTGGTGCTGACGCCGGTGGTCGTTGGTGCCATGAACAGCATGGGAGTAACTGTTGAGTCAGCTGAGGACTGACCTCCGCAAAAGCCCTTCGGCCACCACAGTCTAGAGTCGTGCTCCGTTTGGTGCAGGACCTCGCTTCGGTGACGTCGCTGGAATGCTTCAAGACTGCTGACCTCAACCAAGACGGTAGGCTCTCAGTTCCAGACTCGGCTTCCTTTGCGGGCCGGCCCAGCTCCCAAAAAGGCTGCCAGCTCTCTGCCAGGTCAATGAGTTCAAGACCTGGTTCTATGCTCCCAGGCCCACAAATTGGCTTTTTCTTCCGCGAATTGGATGATTCCCCATGTGACTGGTAGGAATGACCCCACGTTTTTGTTCTCGCCCGTCCGCAAGCTGCTCCAGTGACTGGCTTCTAGTCTGCATATGTATATATAAGATATATATATATATATACATACATACATACATACATACATATATATATATATATATATATGTCCGCATTTCGCTTTCTTGCCGTCGGCCTGGCCGCCGAAGTCACGTGCTGACTCAGGACATGCGAATTCCGAGTCAGCATCTTCTGCCGTCCCGCTGAAACATACCGGATGGGATGCAAGCCTTGCTGGAATCTTTTCAAAAGGGTCGAGTGTTTCATGATGAGCTGTGCTGATGTTAAATACCATGCGCTCCGGCAATCAATCCAAGGGTGTCCTGCCTCGGACAGGTTTGGCTCAAGCCGCACAACAACATGGAGAGTCTGGATAGATTCCCGCATGGCTACAGCAAGCTGTGTCAAAAGACAACCTTGCAAGACAGCCGCAAGGACAGCCCCAACTGGTCTTGGACCAAAGCTTCTGATCCCCAAGTGATAGCTGCCTTCCATGTTTCCGGCATCATCTCAGGGCCCTCGCAATGGGATGGCCCGCATCCCAAGCCACACCGCCAGATGGCTGTCGTTCCCAGACATCACTTCCTGAACTTGAGGCTGCGAGAGGCTCCACATGAGTGAAGCAGGCCGAGTTTTCCTGTCCGCACTTCCTGAGCATCGGTATGAGCTTTGTCCAAGATGCAAACCTCGCAGTGCAACCCAGAGGCGAAGGAAAGGGCAGCCCCAGTCTCGCCTTGGATTCAAGACCATCCTTGGCCAGCGTACTTGGTCGGCCTGACTTCTTCTTAAGTTTCGCCATCCAAAGGGTTTCTTGAGGACCTTCACTTGGCTGTGTGCTTTGTATGTGTACGCTGTGCAAGGTGCTTATTATTCTAGGGGCGGGCGGTTCGGGCAGCGCAGGACCGATACAAGCTTAAGCTTCAAACCGCAAACCATCTAGATCAACATTTGACAAGGACGGGGGGGCTTCCGGCTCTGAGCCCTGAGCGTTTAGGGTTTTAGGGGTTCGGGGTTTGGGGTGCGCGAGTGGGAACATGCGAAGGTTATTCGCAAACAACTCGTGCCTTGAAGTGGGGCAAGTGGGCTGAATTCTGATTTCAGGAAGCAGTTCCGGTTTCCCGTGCACTGGACATATAGACCATGACTATGACTGAGAAACGAATATCCATCACATATAACTAGATATTTAAATGAATAAACCCAAACACACTCTAACCAGCAAATATTCAGAGGGAAACACGGAGTTCAAATGAATAAACATAAGCTAATCAGATAATGATTAGAGAATTACATATTATGTATGTATGTTTTACTATTTACTATGATAGTAACCCTGCCAACAAAGGCATGAGGCTGCACACCCAAGCAGACGAGGCCTCCCTGAAAAATTGTATGTCCAAGATGGTACCGGGGATTTGTTTCGTCGAAGTATTTTGTCGGTGGCCTGTGAAGCCTCCAACCAAGCCCTTCCGAGGCCGGAACCCCCAAAGCCAGGTCCCGAGGCGATTCGGCACCTTGGCGCGGCTGCCAAACCAGAGCTTCAAGGCCGGATGCAACAAACGTGATCGTGCTGAATGAATGAAAGTCACAGTGGCTGCCACAACCAGCATAATCTTGCGATGTGGCAAGATTCATTGCAGTCGATGAAGTAGGAGGAATATGAAGAAATGGCAGTAGCAGCGCCAGTAGCAGCAGTGGCAGTCGCAGTAGCAGTAGCAGTAGCAGTGGCAGCGAGTAGCAGCAGCATTAGCAGTAGAAGCACTTGCAGCAGTAGCAAGAGCACGGGCACGGGCAGGAGCAGGAGTAGGAGTAGGGGCAGGAGCAGGAGCAGGAGCAGGAGCAGCAGCAGGAGCAGTAGCAGCCGTGGCAGCCGTGGCAGCCGCAGCAGCTGTAGCTGTAGCTGTAGCAGCAGTAGTGGCAGTAGTGGCAGTTATCGTGGCAGTAGTAGCAGGCGTAGCAGTAGTAGCAGTAGCAGGAGTAGCAATAGCAG